AAAGGGAGTATTCACATTAAAATGCAATATATAAAATAATATTAACTGCATGATTTAAAAGAAATAGAGAAAGACAAAAATACATTAAAAATTTAACAGTGTATTTAGTAGAAATATATTAAAAATCGAACAGAGATTAACAGCGGTTATATAAGAGCAAATTCTTAATGCTCTTAATCTTTCTTAGGCCTTTCTGTATTTCCAATTTCCATGCAATAATCATAGTAACTGTGTATTGCTTTGCTAATCAGAAAAAAGTGGTAAAAGTCTACTCTGTGGAAAAAAATAGAAGAAATTATCTATATTGGCATTCTGTAAGGATGATTGATTAAGAGTTGGGTACTTATTTTTCTCTAGCTTCCACATTCTGGAATGTAGTTAGGTTAAGTTTGTAATTTCAAAAACACTAATTTTAATGAGTTGGTCTAAGTCATACCTTATTTGCTTTCTAGTAAGGCACGCCACTAATAACAACACTTGACGTTTATGTAAGGATTCACAGGTTACAAAGTATTTCACTTGTATTATTTCATTCAATTCTCACAACACCCATGTGAAGTAGAAATCGTTACCAAGTTACAGTTGCAGAAATTGAGATTCAGAGGTTGAGTAAGGTCGTCCAAATCATGTGGCAGATACATAGCTGAGCCAGTGTTGGACCCGGTGGTTGAGCTGCCAAATGCTGTACTCAGTCAGCTTCCATGGAATCTTTCTAGCAATTCTCATCAAGAATGATAAAGCACTATGCCATTGTAAACATGACACAATTGCTGCAAGCACTAAGACATTTACTAGAAAAGAGTGACTTTGACTTGTATAAATACCTACTCTTTCACTGTCCTAACAATGATTAATTTTTTAGAAGTTAGGCTTTGATGTTTCATTTAGTGCTTTTCCAACACATCTCCAATCCCTTGATATACTCAACTAATTAAGCAGTGGTGTAGCCTTTACATGAAGGACTTTTTAATTAGCTACAGTGATTCCCAAATTATTCAGCCTGGGCTCAGGACTCTTAATATTCAAACTGACAATCTGGAGTACATGAACTCTTTATTTAAATAGTGACATCTGAGATTAAGCTCAATAAAGGTTTCCATGGAAACCAACTGTAATATCAAAACTTTTCAAAACACTAAAAGTGACCCAATTAGAAGAGCTAAAAACGAGTGACAGAAACAGTAGCTGTCAATAGTCTAGAAAGGTTAAATCCACTTCCTCACACTGATTTTCACAAATGTATCTGCATATTCGTTAGAAGATACAGAATTCATTTGATATTCAAGGATCACAACTAGATAAGAATGATACTTAAGTGAAAGCTTATGTTCTTCCATACCATTGAAACCAATTTCACAGAAATACAGAGATCAAGACTGAAGAGCAAGGTAAGTTTACAAGAATATGCACACACGTAGATAACACAGACAAGTACTGCTAAAGATAAAATCTGAAGATTTCTGCAGAAGAAAACATCAATAAATTTTATGAATTAGTTCCAAGTAGAAGAGCTAAAAAAGCTTTCTGTCATCCTTAGAACTAAGAACAGAGGGAAATATATGCTGAACTTGACTCCAGAATGAAATGCAAATGTAAATATGTTTATTAAAGGCTGTAATCACATAATAAGCGCTTAGAAATAGTTTTGAGAGTCAAGCATAATATCAGAACAATTCATGAATGTGCAAATCATTATTTTCTGCCATGAATGTTAACCAAATTCAGACTTTAGCCTTGATATTTGTATGTACTGCGACAAGTGAAAACCCAAATTTTATTGTACATTGCTGTAGAGTACTAACTTTTGTATTAAAAGCTCAGGTTAGAAGATAGTTTCCTGGAAATCCTTACCTAAAGACATCTAAGCATGTTTAATATGTAGTATTCTGAATTTTACTAAGGAAATACAATGTCAAAGTGACACAAATGCTTGCATCATTAATATGCATCTCAAACTTAACTTGCGTGAAACCCAGCTCCTGATGCTGTCCCACCCAGCTTTTCCTGGAGTCTTCCCCATCTCAGTCAATGGCAACACCAACTGGTTGCTCAGAACAGCGTCATTCTTAACAATTCTGTCAGCAAATCCCCTCAGCTGTCATTCAAAATAAACTCAGGATTCAACCACTTCTTTCCGTCTTGCTTGCTACCATGGCCCAACCCACTGCCCTCTCGCCTGCATTATCGCGGCAGCCTCCTCACTGCCCTGCTTCCTTCTGCTCTTTCCCCTTCTGTCAAATCTTACAAACTGCAGCAAGAGTGATTTTGTTCAGAAAAGGTAAGGCCGTCGTGTCCCTGCTCTGCTTGAACCTGCCAGTGGCTCCCCATCTCACTCAGAACGAAGCCAAAGTTCTCACCAGGCCAGTGCAGTGCTGCACGATCTGCTCTCCTGTGTGCCTCTCTCATCTTCTTGCTCTTCCAAGCACTCGCTGGCTCCAGCCAGCCTGGGCTCCTTATTGCTCTTCCACTAAGCCAGGTGCTGGTGCCTCTTTTTATTTGCTATTCCTCGTGCTTGGAAAGCCCTTCCCCAGTATTTACATGGCTCACTCTCTCATGGCCTCCACATTGTTAAGCAAACGCCCACTTCTCAGTGAGGCATTCTCTGTCCACTCTCTTTTAAGCTGCAATTCCTCCATCCATCGTTCCCTACCCCATCCTTTACTTTCTCCCATGCTCTTATGATAAATTAAATGGCAATGCATTTTGCTCAATTTATTTTCTTTGCAGTTTATTTCTCTGCATTGGAATGTAAGGTTATTGAAAACAGTTCTTTTCCTCTTTTGTTTTCTGTTCATTTCCGTCTCCTAGCATAAAGCCTTACACATAGTAGGTGCTCAATAAATTTTGTTGAATGTTTAATGAATAAAATACATTTTATTTGAAAAATCATAGTCGTTAACTTTTCTTTTAAAAAAAGGAAAACTCATTGGCTCCCTAGACTAAAAGAATATAAGTCAACTGATCAATGCACTACTAAGAAGTGACTAAGATCCCAGAGATCAACGTTGCATGGGGTTCTGTGAGGGCTGCAAGTGTTCTCCATCTTCGAAGATCTTACAGCTCAAGAAAGGGAACAACGTTCATTAGGAAACAATGAACAATGTTTATTGAGAACAATAAAAAGTAATATATTACTAACTCCTAAGTCCAACAGCAGCCCAATATTGTGATTTCTGAGAGGTGTGTGTTCTAATTCCATACTGCCATTAACCTATGGGAAACTGTCGCCCCTACAGCCTCAAAGTCTTTATTTTCCAAATTAGGAGAACGCACTAGGTGTTTTATTGGTCCATTAGAATTCTTAATTTGCCTTGGTCTGTTATTTGAGACAAAGTAGAAGTCAGTAGAGATACATATGTGACAGAAATGGTTAGCTGTTCAGCACCTCCCTGCCCTTCCTCCCAGCTTTCAGCCTCCCGAGAAACCATACTGAGGAAGTTCTAAAAGCCTTGATTGATTGAAAATAGATCCACATCAGGCAATTTCTCAGAGAACTCTGCTGAACCTTCCCAAGTCAGACATATATCACTGCATTTAAATATATTGGCATTCTAAAGAATTTTCTAACCTCAAAATACGAATATTATTAAAACTAGAAATATTTTATGTAACTAGCCATATTCTTACCCTGTCTTATAAAACCTCATTGTTTTTGATCATTATTTATCTATATCCTGTGTATGATCTGTTTTGATTTTCCCAAAGAGACCACAAGTTTTTCTAGGTGGAGCGTCATGGGTGATATACTTCTGTCCCTTTTTTTTTTTTTTTTTTTTTGCCATTTACAGTGTTTTATCCATGAATGTTTGTGAACAAATGAGTTCTAGACCTTTCTAAATAATATCTGTTCAGCTCAGTTACAGGAAATATGTGTAACACCACTGTGCTATAATATAAATTTGGTGACAGATAGGGTCCTTAATGCCTGGCCATCATGCTATGTTATCAACTCAGTATGGACAACTGGCTTTGAGTGGTACTATGTTAGACCAAAGGTGATGTAACTTTGCAGTATGGATAATACTGAAAAAGGACAAGGGACAGCGAAGTGTCTATGTAGTAATAATAATATCAGAAAAGTTACTGCTTTAACAAGTCTGGGTTATAGTAGTTCCTGGGGAGGGAAGAGGACATCTGTGGAGTTCACCAAGCCCTTAAAGACCTGGAACAGTGAACTGCCTTTTCCCGGCATGCCTCTACTGAGCAGTGCACGAGGAGTATCTGTCCCATTGGGAATCGTCATTCCTGTTTATAGAGAGTGGAGAGTTTCTTGCCACCTATGCTCATATCCACATACGTTGGTGGTGACATTATCTCATCTGCTCCTGACTTGTATATTGAAGCAAATCACAAAGAAGAAAAAGGGATGAAACCAGTGCTGCTTACTTTTGTCTGTGGCTAACATCTCCTACATGCCTGTCATAAAATCTCTTCCCACTGGCTTGAATACTAGATCTCTGAATTCTCAGTTTGCTTTTCCAGGACTTATATTGTCTCTTCTCCCTGCCGCTTTTTTTTTTTTTGGTGAGGAAGAAGATCGGCCCTGAGCTAATGTCTGTTGCCAATCTTCCTATTTTCGCTTGAGTAAGATTGTCCCTGAGCTAACATCTGTGCCAATATTCCTCTATTTTGTATGTGGGACACCACCACAGCACGGCTTGATGAATGGTGTGTAGGTCCACACCTGGGATCTGAACCCATGAACCCTGGGCCTCCGAAGCAGAGCGTGTGAACTTAACCACTGTGCCACTGGGCCGGCCCCATGTTGTCTCTTCTTATTACTTACTCCACCAAAGACCAAAGCAATCTTTCTAGAACACAGAAACATGAATCCCTGGGGCAGTACACACTCCCCCCCATTCAATCTATTTTATAGTTAAGATGGCAATTTAGTCTTTGGACACCCAGAGTTGGCATCTTCTATTCTCATTTAACAAGCTATAATGGGGCTGGAGGAGATTACCAAACCTCTGGGTTATGATTTTGTGAACACAAGTTACCTGTGCAGATTCTTTTAAAGTTGGGATTTTCCAGAAGGTGTCCTGGTAGGCGGCACTGGAACCGATGTTGCCAGAACTCAGGGAACCAGGGGTTCCTCGTATTAGTGTCCAGCCTCAGCTTCAGGAAATAATCATCAAATGACCTGACCTCTGGAGACTGCAGCTTTATCGTGATTCCTCCGTTGGCTTCCACCTCATAACCTTCAATGACTTCATCTCTGTCTGCCCATCCATCACTAAAAAAATTCAGGGATTGGGGTGGGGAGAGAGAAAGACAAATGTCTCACAAATAGAGCTCAGAGTTATGAATGAATGAAGCAATTCAGCAAGGCTGAAAGTCTATTTTAAGCCAGCAATGCTACCAATCAATGACATGTTTTTTCGCAGAGTAGAAAGTTGTGATATCATAACGTTCAGCTTGTTTGCTTTTCCCAATAGTGAAAGGGATGATGATGATGATGATGATAGTAACAATTACAAGAACTAACGTTTATTGAGCATCTACTAGTCATCAGATTCTGTGCTACTCACTTTATCTGAGTCAGAAGATGTTCAGCAACTAGCTGAAGTCCCAGAGGACCTGGATATGGATCCAAGTAGTCTGACTCCCAAACACAGTGCTCTTTACAACTAGACCACAAAGTCTATCAGTTGCTGTCCAAACCAGAAGGAAATAAAACTCAGCCACTCACCTTCACAATAAGAGCTCAACAAGGTTTCGTGGTTGCGATCAAGACCATTACATGAGTTGCATTATATGGGGTGAAAAGTTGAGTTAGCTCAGAAACATGACAACCACAAATTCTGCTCCTGGGTATTGTTCAAATTTGCATTGCTTAGAAGTGACCAGATGCTTTTCTTCCCCTCTAATGCTATTTAAAAATAACAGCATTAAAAGAAAACAATCTCACTCTGCAAAATAAAAATAATCCTCCTGCTCACTAAATGGAAGTTCACTGACATTGTATTCAGTGGGTTCAAATTTTTTAAATTTGGTCACCTTCTGCAACACTCACTTCTGCCATGAGTGATGCAGCTCCAATTTAATTCTGGTGTGCACATGAGCCAGGCCAAGTCTCATGTGAGTGGCTGTGATCCCGTCCCAAGAGAATGTCAAGGAAAAATTGCACTAGGTAGAGTTTAACAGGCAAAGAAGACTATAGTCAAGACTATTCCAACCGGCCAGAGACACTGAACTCAATTCTGTGAAACAAAAGGTGGGAGCGTTTTTTAAGCGTTGGGGTGAGCTAGTGAGACAGTGCTGGAGGACACTGTGGGGAGCTTGGTCAATGTGATTAAGCCATCTGTGTTTGGTAATTGTCACTTATCTAAGTTAGGCTCCCACCTTCCCACAGAGACTGGGAGATAGGGGTTTGCCACTGCTCTTGATAATCACATTTCAAAGAGATGGCTCCCAGGTCCCTGAGAAAGAAAATTCTCTGTTGTAAAACTGACAGGAGGCTGGGAGAATGCTTGCATCTCAAAGGAAGCAGAGAAAGAATTTACAATGGAATGTTTTTGAAAGCAAATACTCTAAGAGAAGTCAAGTGGCTCATACTCAGGGAGAAATTTGTCTAAAGTCTAGTCAAGCTGAGAACATTAAGATTGTCTTGGTCAAGGGGCAGAGTCATTCCTCTACTCACAGAGTGGTGCCCTGCAGTTTCTGGAACAAGACCATTCAGTCTCTGTGAAAGAAAGTGTTTTATCACTTGCTTCTCACAGAGTAGGGAGCTGGGCCCAATACACATGACTGATCATAGCTCCCCCGTTGATATCTGAGATCAGTTGGGATAAATGTGTCCTCCACTTAAATGAGCTAATTGGTGCATTTCCATTCTAGAATCTTCCCAGTGAACTACACAGGAGCTGCATTTTCAACAGACCTAGGGTTGTAGAAGATGTAGCTGACTTAGCATGATACAGAACTAAAGAGACTTTGAGGTATAGTGTAGTCTACATGCTACCAGTACATATATAGTACATATGCTATATGTAGTCTATATGCAGACCAGAGGAAGTCTATATGCTTCTTCTAAGTCCACAAGGATAGAGAGTTTACAGTCCTGCAGAGATCTTTCCTCTTCCCTTTCTTTCTTCCTTCTCCCCTTCCCTCCCTCCATCCCTTCCTGCCTTCCTACTTCGTTCGTTCCTTCCTTCTTCCTTCCTTCCTTCCTTCCTTCCTTCCTTCCTTCCTTCCTTCGGCATTTACCTAGCACCCACTATGTGCCAGATGCTCTGCTATGCTCAGGATTCAAGTGAGAATGAGACATACTATCTTTGTCCCTATGCTGTTACAGACTTGTAGGGAAAAACAGACACTAGACAAGAATTAGAAATGCTATGAAGGTTAAGAAGGAGCAGTGACCAGTACTATGGGGAGGAGGGCCTTGGGAGTTTGACTTAGTCTGGTGTGTGTGTATGTATGTGAGTGTGGACAGAGAGAGGGCTCATTAGGGATGGCTTTCCTAAGAAAGTGCAGTCTGAGCTGAGCCCCATAGGGTGAGTGGACATTAGTCAGGTGAACAGACAGGGAGGGATTGGTAAAGAAGGTTCCTAGTAGATTCTCTAACATAGGAAAGAGCATGGCTCATTCAAAGAATTTAGAGAGTCAGTACAGCTGGAACATAGAAAGAAGAGTGGCAGGACTGGGAGTGTGGGTATAGATCTCAGCCTGGGAACTGTTAGCCTCAGGACTACAGGGAGCGCTCAAAGTGTGGTAAGTCTATAACCTGATAAGGTCATTCTGCTCTGCTCCCTCGTGGTAAGTGACCTGAGTATTTTTGTGGCAAGTCCTTCTCCACTCACCATCACTGAATAGCATCGCGAGCCAAACTGACTGAAAAACAAAAAGACAGACACATTTAACTTTCTATATGCTCCACCTACTTAGAAAGCCTTGAACTAGTTCAACTATTTAGATTTATTCACATTTATATGATAACTACATCTACAGCAATTTGAAGACCTGAGCTATGGCTTATGTCATGCTGAAAAGAAAGATAAAAATAAAACCAGTTAAGCTTTCAAGAAATTCTGTGTATGAGTGTATATTTAAAATCAAAATGACTTATAACTTGAAGAGAAGAATGACTGTTTGACATAAACTTTAGGCTTGAAGTGTGTTTCTCCCCAAGGCTTAACATTATGTGAGACTTGTGTGTGTCTGTGTATAGTCTGAACAAAAGACCCACAATTTTTTAAAGTATATGAAATGAGCCTTCTATAATGTTTATTTGCATTTCTTTTTAAAAATCATCCTCAGTTTATAAAACAGGTATTGTGTCAATGCTAAAGCAGAGAAACTGTGACTTCCTCTCCTTTTGCCCACCAGCAGAGAGGAGCTCATCATAGGAGTAAACATTTGTCTATGAATATAGACAACTTAAACTCATGTGGTTTGGTGGGGGAGCCCTAAATCGCTTTTGCCATTGGTCAAAGCCCTTCTCCTTCACTGTAGATGACCCCATTTCAGAAATTAGAGTTGGTGTTAAATCCGAGAGATGATAAAATCAAGGAGAACCAGGAGGTAATACAGAAAATATTCAACCAGCATTACTTGGCGAATATCTTTGGAAGTGTTAATTGCTAAAGCATTGTAGAATATCTTAACTCTATCACAGGTAAGGTGTTAGCGAGTGCTAACAAATAAAAAGTCGCTAAAAAACATCCGCAGAGCAACTCCTGGTTTGTAAATATTTAAATCATTTCATCTGACTACCACTTGTTAAACGTATTTACAGAGAATTTTAAAGGGTTTTCTCTGTTTAGTTGTATTGGTTTTTTTTTTAATCAAGATATCGTTTGGGTGAATTCTCTGTGGAGCACACATGAAAACAGGGAGCAAGCAGCTCTCCTGATACCTAGTAGAGGTTTTTTATTTTGATGTTGTTGTTAATGGTGGTAGTGGTGGTGGTGATGGTGGTGTACACTGTGCTTGACCAGAGATGACCCACAGGCACCTGTTCGCCCTAAGTGACTGGAGTGACTCCTGCTGTGCTGGGTGCTGACCAGCCTCAGGCAGTGCTGAACTCTCAGTAAGACACATTCACAGCCTCTAGCAACTTCTGCTGCCCCATCTGTTTCCCAATTATGAGTTCTTTTTCCTATCAGGGGTCTGGAAATAAAACTGTGTAATGTGGATGAACAGGGTGAACATTTAACAGAAAGCTACATGTCTTTAAGAACTGCTCACAAATATGCTAGAATCCTTATTCACTGTCCTCCCTCCACATTTCGGTACATACAGAAATTCTTTCACAAGGCTGTTCTCTTTCCACAAAATCACTGTTCTACTCTCTGCAAAATTTCACAATCCAAAGTTGAATAATAATAAGATTTCTTCTCCTTATAAATTCTGATATTAACGACTGGAAAATATTATTTCTAATTCTACCAATTATAACTTGACAGGAGTTACATGAGTGTTATTTTCACATTATATCAAAGTAACTTAATAAGCAAATTGATGGTAAAAAGCAGAAACACAATAGTATTCATTTAAAAAACTGTTCAAAAACATTTTAGAAAAATCTATTTACATTCAATTAAAATAATTACAGTGTAGGGAGTAAAGCAACTTGATTTGTGTTATGAGTTTTAGTAATTGTGTGTACTTGATAATAAAACTATAATTCTTCAAAAATGCTCTAGAGATAATCATATAACCAGAGAAATAAGAGGATAATAAAAACAATATTTTCAAAAACATATGTGAACAAGCACAAAATTCTATAAATTACAATGCTAACCATCTTTACAAAGGTTGAAAAATTGTAGCATAATGTAATTTAAATCAGGTGATGTCAATTTGGGGAAATTTTATGGAGGTAATTGCAGCTTTTTCTTTTTTCCTTTTTGGTGAGGAAGATTGGCCCTGAGCTAACATCTGCACCCTTCTTCCTCTATTTTGTATGTGGAATGCCACCACAGCATGGCTTGATGAGTGGTGTGTAGGTCTGAGCCCAAGATCTGAACCCACAAATCCAGGTGGCTGAAGCAGAGCCTCCCAAGCTTAACCACTATGCCACTGGGCTGGCCTCAGGTTTTTCAGTAATAATTTAGACTGGCTTTATTCATTCAACATGTACTCACTAAGAATCTCGTATAAGTTGGGCATTTTACTTACTGCTGTGGATGCCTTGATAAAAAGGACAGGCAAGGCCCCTGCCCTCAAGGCATTTAATTAAAGGGGTGGAGAAGACTGGCCACAGAGAGTTGCAGTGACTGAATTGAAAGG